CCCACAAAGATCAAGGTGCATTTGTCTGGTATGGTCCCTTTCCACATGCAGCAGAGATTCCAATTTCACTCTCTCATCTTGCTCCTTATCTGAATGTTTTTGTAAGGAGACAGCCAAATCTTGTGAGTGATAATGCCAGAAGATGCATGCACAAGCACAGTACAACATGTGCAATCTCCCAGTTTATACTATTAGTGCCAATTCCATTAGTAGGGACTTAATTTTCTGAAAACTGACAATTGAATTATTTCTTAGATTTTTCAGAAATTCACTGAGACATCCACACTTACAGTTTTACCTGTCAGCAGTACAAGAAAAAGAACAACATTCCAAATCATCACAAATTCAAAAGATAGTTCCCTCTGAGTAAGCTAACAAAGCCTGTTTGAAGGAGAGACATGCCATGATCCCAAAACCCAGCTGTCTTCCAGGGGAAAAGAACACTGGACAATTACAAATTCAAATCAATTTTTTTATTAGCTAAGCTAAATTTAATTTGTATACAAACATCTTCATATTCTTCTGCCCCCAGAAAAGTCCTCTGTTGTAATCATAGTATGTCCCTAATGATTGTACTGTAAAGCAACGTCTGATACTTCTTCATAGAAGAATTGTAAGGATCAGTGGTGGAGCAGCAGGATCTCACTTCTGTGCAGGAATAGGAGACAGACACATGTGCAGATCAGCAGGGGAAAAAGAATTAAACAAACAAAAAAGCAAACAAAAAACCCAAACAAACAAAAAAAAAGTGCTGTAGTCCACCAAATAGAGGAAGCTCAGGAACATTGGGGCCTGGTTGATTTTGATCCTAAAGCAATTGCTTTGTGGCTCTCCACCCAGAAAGAATTTGTCCTGGGCTGTGATGATTGACAATGCTGAAATCAGAATAGCCTAGCTGAAATCAGTTGTGTTGGTCTGACTGGTAGCACATGAGAGTCTGGCTTACTGTTTTACAGAAAAATGGGATTAGACAAGGAAGGTTACTCCGGATTTACATTATGAAGTAAGAAAGTAGCCCCACAGCTTCCCTGGGTACAGCAGAGCTCTCCAATAATTTCTAGCAATAGTACAATACTTAATCTAACTCTGAAAGTCATAAAATAAATATGTTCTACTTTCAAACTTCAACATACTTTTGGAAATCTAAAAACTCCAGAATTAATTCTTTGCTTTCTGACTACTTTGCAAAACTATAAAATATGAAGTGTTAATGCAGTTTAGAATCATAGAATGGTTCTAGGTGTTGCTATGTGCTATAATGGCAGCATCTGGAACCGCACATAACACTGTTTTTCCTTTACCAGGTTTTAGTTTGTTTTAGTTTGTATTCTGTTTGAATTGTAATCCAATCCACCACTGCTTGTGGGTCATGCCAGTTATTATGTACCCAGGACATACTGGGAGGAGAAGGATTAGCATTATAGCTCTTTCATATCTTCATAAGGGGACAGTCCCCATTTTGACTCGCTATGGGCAGTCAGACCTTTTGAGTGAGTCATAACCCACTGAGTGTTAATGTCCTTCTCCCCGTTACCCTCTGAGGGTCAACATGAATTTTCTCCTGGAGAAAAACCTTACCAAAGTCTGGACCACACTGACCACTCCACCACAGCCAAGGGATCCTGCTTGAGATGCCAGTTTAATGTTATGGCCTGCCTCTGAGGCCAGGTAACTGAGGTTCTTGTTAATAAATCCCTTGGGATGAAATAGAGTGAAATAACACTGCATGACCAGTGTATATATGAGTCAGGTTTATTTTAAAACAACTTGGTTGCAATGGAAAGGCAGTATGTAATCGTTTTGGTTCTTTTCTATAAAAAACCAGAAAAATATCACGAAGATATTGTCTTCCCAAGGAACCGTTACGCGTGATGGGCCCTGCTCTCCTGGAGATGGCTGAACACCTCCTGTCTGTGGGAAGCAGTGAATTAATTCCTTGTTTTGCTTTGCTTGTGTGTAAAGCCTTTGCTTTCTCTATTAAACTGTCTTTATCTCAACCCATGAGCTTTTCTAGTTTTTACCCTTCCGATTCTCTCCCCTATCCCTTTGGTGGCTGAGGTTAAACTATGACAAAAGGGAAGAAAAGGACAAGAGTAGGCAGTGGAGAGGAAAGATATCACTACCCATGAATCCAGTGATGAGACTTGATTGTGTGCATTGATAAGATTCCCTCTCAGTCTTGTCTTCTCAAGGCTGAGCAGTCCCAGCTGCCTCAGCCTTTCCTCACAAGCAAGATGCTCCAGTCCTCCTTGTTTTCCTCCATTGGACTTGCTCTTGTACTGAGGAGCCCAGAATTGGACTCAATAGTCCAGATGTGGCCTCACCAGGGCTAAGTAGAGGGGCAGGATCACCTCCTTCGATCTGCTGGCAGTGCTCTTCCTAATGCACCCCAGGATCCCATTGGCCTTCTTGGCCACAGGGGCACAGTCCTGGCTCATAGACAGCTTGTCCACCAGGACCCCCAGGTCCTTCTCCACAGAGCTGCTCTCCAGCAGGTCAGCCCTCAGCCTGTGTTGGTGCCTGGGGTTATTCTTCCCGAGGTGCAGGACTCTGCACTTGCCCTTGTTGAATTTGAGAGCGTTCTTTTCTGCCCAACTGTCAAAGGGCAGCACAGCCCTCTAGGCTCAGCCACTTCTCCTAGCTTTGTGTCATCAGTGAATTTGCTGAGGAGGGACTCTGTCTCTCCATCCAAGTCATTGCTGAACAAGTTAAATGATACTGGGCCCAGTGTAGAACCTGGAGGACACCACTAGTGACAGGCCTCCAACTAGACCCTGTGCCACTGCCATTCAGCCAGTTCTCAATTCACCTCACCATCTGCTCATCCAGCCTGCAATTCCTGAGCTTACTTATGAGGTTATTGTGAAGAGACAATGTCAAAAGCCTTGCTGAAATGGAGTCAGACAATATCCACTGTTTTCCCCTCATCCATCCAGGTAGTTGGCCCATCACAGAAGGCAATCAGATTGGTTAAGCATGATCTCCCTTTAGTGAATCCACGCTGCCTATTCATGATCACCATCTTGTCATCTGTGTGGATAGACATGGCCGTCAGGATGAGCTGTTCCATTACCTCTCCAGGTGTAACAGTGTAAAGCACAAGTATTTTTGAATGCAGCATAATATGAATTCATGATGGGGGAGACTGAAATTATTCATATGAATGCTTTTTCATGCTTTGAGTGAAGTGTTTTATGTGACTTGAGCTCAAAGTGTATTTATTAGAGAGACTTGAAATACTTCCAGGCATACAAATCTCTGTATGGCTAGTTTAATTTTTATTGCATCACAATAAATTGTGAAACTCAAGAAAAGCAATGAAATGAGTTAATGGATTTCATAGGGCATTTCTGATAACTGTGGTTTAAAGTCTTCCACTTTATTGCTCTCCTCCACAAACACTCAAGCAATAATTGTCCTCTGGAGAACTGGTGTTTTTCGGTGTTATATGTTGAAAACTTTTGTTCCTCGGATAAAAAGAAAAAAAAGACAAAACCAAAAGGGGTGGAGATGGTCTCTTTCCTTCAACTAAGTCACCTCTTCCTGTATCACCTTCCAAATGGGTGGTTTTCACAGGGAGTGACTGGGCTCTTGCAGCACACTAGCTACCACCTGAGTTACCACAGTTAGACTGTGCCTTCTCCAGTCATAGCAGCTGAGATACAGTTTTGCTTCATTTTTATGAGGGTGGGCTTTGTTTCATTTGTCTAAGTGCTTTGCCTTCATTACTGCTTTTGTTACATCATATACCTCACTACTGGGAAGTGTCCTGAAATGAAGGCATGCTGCTTCTTAGCATCAAAGACTTCTTTTCAGAATGGACACGTATCTCTTCTGAGATGTTTGCTGGTGGCCTAGTATGGAATGTGATTTGCTTGTGATGGCCAGTTGTTAAGCCTTCTGTTGTTGCTGAAGTTGTACCTGCATCTCAGTACCCTCTTGTTACTGTTTAACATGCTTAGGTTATGGAACAACATTTTCAGAAATGACAATGATTTAGAGAAGCTGAGCTCAACCTGATGTACTGCAGCAGAGTCCCAGAGGACAAGGGTTTTTAAGAGCAGACCTACCTGTTGTTGTTCATAGGTAGCTTTTTGACACTGTTCTGTACTCAGGTGCTCTGATGTGTTGTTGCGCTGTGCTCTGAAATAAGCCAAAGGGAATCACTGCTTCTAAATGGAGGAGTACTTCTTCGTTTGGATGCTTGAGTCTAGCTGTTTCCTAATAATGTCTCTCCATCAACGTGAATGGTAGGACAAAAGGGGTCTATAAAATGAATTGTGAGAACCTGATCATTAACAAATTTAAGACTTATTGAGCTAGGGCATAGCTTTTAGCTTCAGAATTCAAGGTAGCATATAATTAACTCACTGTCTTCATTCTTGTTTCCACAGAGCATGCTGTTCTATTGCTGTACAGCTCCTGACTCAGCCATTGACACAAACAGTAGTAGGGAAGAAGAGCACAGTGCTTACCACCTGGAGCTGTTGAAAACATTTGTTCTCACTTAAAGAGGGCTATATTTCTGCACAGTTCACTACTGCAGCTGAGTATAATGTATGGATATTATGCCTAGCAGAAAATGTTATGGGGTCCTACAAATTTAGATAAAGTCGCAGTGCTGTGTTACTACCTTTCAGTGCTTTTTAGTTAGCACTTAGACTACAGAGCAAGAATGGAGGCTTGGGGAAGTGTGCAAAAGCACTGAACTCTGTCTTAGCTGTGTTCACATTTCACATAATGATACACTTCTGCAGAGTTTAGCAGTTTAACAACACACAAAAGACTTACGAAAGAAATTTCTGTAGCAGTGCATTGTAAAATCCACACAGATTAGTCTTAATCTATTGTACTTCTGAGAAACAGGCAAGCAAGAGCAATTGCATCAGCTGTTTGCATACACACATTAACCTTTCCACTTCACTTTCTGCCTGTGCTTGTTCCGTAGTCCAGTTGCTTTGAGTCTTTCTCATTTGCACGCTTGCAAAAAATACCAAGACATGTCAATTCATACCTCAAAAAAAGAAAAACGATTTCTTTTTACTTCAGAATCTGTTGCTGAAGGACATTCTGGTAAGTAAAAATGCTGATTGTATCTTTCCTTTTATTAATACCTACAGTAAAGAATGCTATCTGATTAAAGTCCAGTCATATCTTCCCCAATGGAGAAAAGAAAGAAACAATTAACTATTTTGAATAGACTTCGGAGTAGTGTCTTTGTTTGCTAGACTAGAATTTGTCTTATTCATCTAGCGTGCAATATAATCCGGCATAGATAACTTTTGCTTGAGAGAAAAAGTGTGGCTAGGTCTTCTACAGGTAGACTTGGAGCTGCTAGATATATCGGACTAATGATTTAATTTTTTATTCTGTAACGAAAAAAATAGTACTTTATGCACATGTATATTATAAGTGATCACTGAACTCTGAATCTCTGAAATGTTTGGAATACTAAGCATTAATTTTCATCAGAGCTGCTCTAATACTGCAAATGTCTAGTTGTCACATTACTCTACCTAACACAAGTTAATATATGCTGTAAAATGTACGAAGCCATTGTACATCGAACTGCAAGACAATGCCTCAGCTCTAATTGCTGTTCACTAGATTCAGTTGGTTTTCATACAGCTTTGTTTACACAAATATGTATCTAGAAGCTGTGTTAACTGAGGGACTGGAGGGAGTTTGGGTCTCTGAGAGACATGGTAGTGACTCAGATTTACAGTAAAGTTAATAACAGTTCCTTTTATGTCTTCATGGAGTATTGTAATGTGAAGTCTGAAAACAGCATTACTTCTGAATTTTTCCATATAGAAGGAAAGACAAAAGAAAACCCCCAAACAAACAAACAAAAAACAGTGAGAAAAGGAGAGTAGTGTCAAACACTGAAGGTTTGCAGGCGAGTTTTTCATGTATATCCATGTTCTCAGGATTCTTATTCATGATACAGTATGAGAGCAGTTGTACTAGCCTGTCTGCCCAGCCCCTAGTGAACAGTCCAACAAGATCACTGCAGCACACAGCACCACCATATCTTGAACAAGCACAACAACTTGCTTTAAAACAGTGCCCTGGATGTTGTAATGGTGCACATAGCTCAAGGCAATAAAGCTTATCAGTTGTTGCAGG